TTTGTCCACTCAAATTGGTCCAAATCTAGCACTGGAAACTTCACCCGTAGATGGGAACCCCATTCCTTTAGATGCGGCCACCTAGTCTATCCATATACATGGCTTGTTGCAACTGGGTGATTGCATGTAAATCAATAGTTCACAAGTATGCTTAATATTACCCTCACGATTTTATACAGCACTTGAGCTGCATTCTGTGCCACTAGCCGTTATTCAAATATTGCTGTCTGTTACTTTCATATAACTAGGTATTCCGGCCGACAGAGGAGAGTTCGCATCACTCCTCATTTTGGGAAATCAGTACCGGTAGGCCTTCCAGAACAGAACTGGATGAACTAGAATACGAGATATCTGTTTGACTAGTTGACTATCTATGTTAAGATCTAAGTATACGAGCCTCCAGGTACTTTCATGATGCCATCATTATTGAATGCTTACATATGGATCCATGGATACACCGTTTCTCATTTTACTAAAACATAGGAAAACTATATGTTATTCCATTTTGGGTGTTTTTACACACGTGGGACAACGAAAGCAGCAGGAATTTGATTGTATTACACTGCATCGGAAACCATGGGCTGTTGATGTTTCAGTCTAAAAGTATCCAAAATGATAGAAAATATCCATGCAAATATTCATGCTAAGTTTTATTAAGGACAGTCGGGCGAGTAGAGAGGGGTGACTAAATGAGGTGACTAAATACATGTATAATAACATTAAATGTAGAAAGAAAATAACTAATGTCGATACTTCATAAATAAAATTGGAAGGAATATCTATTTTTTTTCCATTGCTGGCCTCATAGTTAAAAGGATGGGAAGAAGCATCTACTTCCTCTTGGGTTGGATTTTAACGCGAATGTCACCCTTGAGCCATGGGCTTCCAATCTTAGCGAAGTCCAAGTCGGTGGTATTTTGGTTAGCCTCGCCAGCGGGCCAATCCATATCACAGGTCATAACAATTTTGGCAACAATAGTCCTCATCATCATCAGTGCCATCTTCTCTCCAGGACAACGATGACTTCCGGCACCAAATGGTAGATAGCGGATGTTATTGCCTTCGTTCATCTTTTTCTGGAGGTTTGGCTCATCGATCCAACGCTCAGGAAGATATTCGTTGGGGTTTTCCCAGATGCTTGGGTCATGGTGGGTGATGTAAGGGGAGATAGATACCATGGTACCAGCGGGGATAGTAATTGGCTTCTTGGAATCCGCGTTAGTAAGAGTCTTGGGTTGGCGGGTGAAGCGGAGATCGTTAAATGCCACGTAATGGCGGACAGTTTCTTTCATCAGGGCATTGAGGAACTCAGATTCCTCGGGATTCGGGTTGGCAGCTAGTTCTTTGCGAAGACGCTCGAGATATTGAGGGTTTTTGAGAAGCTAAGCCTGGTTAGCGATTTAAGGACACTGGAAGAACATGGGGAGCCTCACCTCAATGATAGTCCAGGCAACGCCGGCAACAGTACTTGTGTGGGCAGCAAACATGAGAACTGTGTGAAGGGCACTGTATTTGTCCTTTAGATGGGCAGTGACAGGATCACGGAGGGTGTATGAAATGTAGTCCAGTTCTTTCTTCCATTTCTCCGGCTCCTTTTCACGGGCAGCAAGACGGACATTGAATATCTCCTTAGTACGGTCACGGGCAGCCCAGAGCTTTTTAGCGGCTGGATGAGGTAGCCACTCAGGGAGAATGAAGTTCCAGATGCTACCAAGATTCGCTTCCATGACGTGAAGAAGGTCAAAAAGCTCATCAGCAGCATCGTAGAAGTCTGGACCCATCATGCACTGGACAATAATTTTGTGTACAATGTAAGAGGTGTCCTTGAAAAGGTTCAGGGGCTCCTTGCGGTCAGCCCAGTTGGCAATTGCCTTCTCGGTTTCAATGCCAGCTAGATTTGTATAATGTGAGATAGCTGCATTGTTGGAAATTCCTCTGCTAAGTGATCCAACAAGAACACGAAGCTGGTCGAAGAAGTTTGGGACAACGACTTTGTTCAGGAACACTCCCATGCCGTCACCGAATGACCAAACATCCTGATGAATAGTTAGATGAGGTTGTTTATCGGAAGGTACATAGACTACCTACCTCGCGGGCAAAGAGGTATTCTTTATTCAAGGCAGGGCCGTTAAGCCAGATTGTGTTCGTAAGGAGGAGGTTAATCTGAAAGACCTGTCCGTATTTCTTACCGGACTCACGGACATATTTTTCCATATCCTTAGCATAGTCGAGGAGGTTTCCGACAATTGGAATATTTGATTTAACGGACGGGATGCCATCATCCTTGGACCATGCTCGGATTTTGAAGACAATAAAGAGAATGATGATAGCCGGTATTATGTTGATTGGCTGTGTCAAGGCCGTCCGGATGTAGTCAACGAACATGGTGACAGGTGAGGTATGAGCAAACGGGTATCTAGCACCTGATAGAGGTACTGAAAAGAAGATATCACGCAATGGTGAGAGAAGATAAACAGAAAAAGCCCGTAGGAATTAACCGGATTCCAGACAGGGTAGACAACGACAGTTCGCGTAGGATAGAGCAGAGGTCGTCTATATAAGTTCACGATGCCATATCAACGGGGGTAGGGGGTTTAATAAAAAGCTCCGTAAGTAGAAAAGTGGCGGACAACCAGCCGCTGAAAGTCAGCCATGGAAGAGCCCGGTTGCTTTCCTGATACAGAGGAATGTGTGGACGTATCGAGTGCCCGACGCGTAACGGATCATTATTAGAAGCCTTGTTTTGTGTGCTATCCTCAACTGGCATGCAAATTATGCGAGAAAAAGAGAAATGACAAGTCTTTCATGCAAAGCTAGCTCTCGTCTTAAGCAGTTATAGCCGTAACTTCTGAGCATGGGCTGAAATATCATGATACAGCGTTTCCGTGAGGAACACGTCCATAACATAGTTATGGGCTGCATATTAAATATTTTTCTCACCAACAATAACGACTAAAATATACGTGAGAATTGAGGATGGAGGGAAGAAGCATGAACAAAAAAAGATATCAAAACATACGAAAGTCGGGATTCGCTGGTGGTCACCCACCCAACTACTAACCGACCGGCAAGTGGCTTAAGTACAGCTGAGCGGACGGGAAGCTCTGTTTTCCACTTCCTGTGTTCGTATGTACTAAATGCATAGGCGAGAGGATTGATATCGAGGAGGAGGGCGTCTTCGATAATGTTGCTGGTGATTCGATAGACACATTCATGATGGGCTAGTTAATATGAAGCTCAACTAACTGGCTGACTGCAAGGAGCCAACGTCGCTTGTAATGCCTGAAGAGTCACATAGGAGGGAATCCAGTGTTAGCCTATGCGACTCATGCTGAGATAGAGCAATGGAGAGATGTCTCCAGTCTCCTCGCCTTCATTCTGCGGATATCTGGCTGCCACGACCCCATAGGATTCCGGAGGTAAAGCGATACGAGAGGCCGTCTAGACTTAGCAGTAAGCAATCCCATGTCGGGCCTTCAGCATGCGCCGAGGCGGTTGCCACATGGGAAGAGCGGCAGATAGGCAAGCAGGAGGAAACGTAAAGCATGCCAGCACTGAAAATAGCTTGTTATTATGGAGTAGCAGTTTTCTTATTTGTTTGTTGATATCAAAGTCGACGTTGGAAGTCGAAGTTTCAGCCTCGATGTCTCAAATGTGCTTAGTCAGCATAAGTAGTCAGCTAACTAAACATCGACTTCAACTTCCGAACCTCGACGTCAACCAACCTCATCTCTTCATCCTCAGCCTTTTGCATGGCGGGCTCTGTTCTCGTGTCCATGCATCAAGTTGCCAGTCAGCTCAGAATAATGGGCCCATAAATGTATCAACAGGCCTCTGGGCCCCTGCATCCTCTCTGTTGCCATTCGGCTAATCTCGAAAGGTCCACCTGTGCCTGGTGAATGAATCGTGGGCTAGTTATCTCATCAAATCTACGCATCTACACTAAGCACTTACAAGGGTCTACTTTGCGCGGAGTCCACATTTAGCTGCCCTGGGCTGTAGTAACAGTACAAAATGGGGCAGAACTCGGTATTCGCCCCCGAGCCCACGCGGAGGATTTACCACCAAGGATGCATTGTTCCTCCAGCCTCGCGTTAAGCGGTTTCAGCCTTTATGCCATGTGCCAGCGAAGCGGACCTTCCATACCATGATATGGAGTCCCGCATCCTCTTGCAGGGGATAAGCCACGCGAGACTAGGGCTTGATGCATATTAACTTCTCCCTGCATGGAGGAAAAGAATGTCAGCTTAGCTTCGGGTCCCTGGTCTATGGGGCTCTCTTCTCTCGAACTAATGGCAATCAATCTATCAAAAATGCGAACCTTCGGGGGGGCTAGATACATCAGCCCTGGTATTCTGACGGCCACGCTCCCCGAGCTGGCCGACAGAAAGAAGCTTTGGCCTCGAAGACTCGCTTTACCTTCTTTCAGCACAAAGCTCGTCTAGCCAATAGGCTGCCTGCATAGGGATCTGGAAATTGCCCGTTATCCTTTTCTGCACGGCGACTTCGACTGTTCCTACCATGCAAGCCTTAGTCAGATTTCAAGATGGCTGAGAGGGCTAAGATGTCGAGAACAAGTCAAATACCCTTTCTGACCCCGAGATAGCTTCAAAATTTCTTTCCAGAATTAAATCATTGCCGGGCTGATTTGGTTCTCTCTCTGTGTTCTTCTTGATTCTTAGTTGCATTCAATTACTCCCACCAAGCACTCTGCTTCTGGGACTACCTCTTTCACTTCGATCTACCTCAACGGACAAATTGGGGATTCCTTATAGACTTTGTTTTTTCCTTCGCCTCAGTGCTCTACCAACCATCCAGCGGTTCGACATCGATTATCTGGATATTGTATATTCAAAATACGTACTTAGTAACTAATAAGCACCAACCGATTGTCCCCCGTCTTGGATTTCAATTCTGAAACCTATCTGGACATATTCTCAACTTCAGGTTAAGTCTCTGCTCCTCTTCCTGATACTAACTTCCAACCGAACTACGCAGCAATGGACACCATGACTAGTACCTCAGGTGTTAACACCCCTTACGTCTCTGACAACGAGACCGTCTCAAGCGCTACTACTGCGCCAACTCCTCGCGATGATTTCAGCGCTGTGATCGGCATGGCCTGCCGTGTTCCAGGTGCTTCTTCTCCTTCCAAACTCTGGGAGAACATCATGACCCAGCGCGATGTTCAGAAGAAGATGCCTTCTGACCGCTTCAATGTCGATGCTTACTACCACCCTGATGGAACCAACAAGGGAACCGTATGTTGATTTCAGCCTCTTATCACAGACACACACTATGGTTTGACTCTAACTTTATTGTAGACCAATGCCAAATATGGTTATTTCCTTGACCAGGACCTTGGTCTTTTTGATGCTGGCTTCTTCCACATCTCTGGCAAGGAAGCTGAGGCCATGGACCCTCAGCAGCGCCTCTTGCTTGAGGTTGTCTACGAAGCGTTGGAAAATGGTAATATTTATATCCTGCTTTTTCTGAATATCCTAACTAATTACTAATAGCCGGAATTACTCTTGACGAAATTCGGGGCACCCAAACTTCTCTTTATTGTGGTTGTTTCACCAACGACTACAACTCTATGATCACCAAGGATTTGGAGTACTATCCCAAGTACACCGTGACCGGAACTGGTGATGCAATTCTTTCTAACCGTATCTCTTACTTTTATGATTTGCACGGTCCTAGGTAAAGTCTTATTGAAGCAAATGCCTACATCTGCTCCTGTTAACTGACAAATTCCCTCTAGCGTTACTATTGACACCGCTTGCTCCTCTTCTCTTGTTGCTCTGCACCTTGGAAACCAATCTCTTCGCAGTGGTGAATCCGATTTGTCCATTATTGTCGGGTCTGCTCTTCATTTTGACTCAAATATCTTCGTGACCATGACTGATCTTGGTATGCTTTCCGTTGACGGCCGCTGCCGTCACGGAGACAAGGCTGGTAGCGGTTACGTTCGTGGTGAGGGTATCACCGCGGTTGTTTTGAAGCGGCAATCTCGTGCTGAGGTCGAAGGAAATCGAATCCGCTCTATCATCAGGGCATCTGGTGCAAACCATGACGGAAAGAAGCAGGGGATCACTCTCCCATCTGCTCAGGCCCAGGCGGCTTTGATTGAAAGAACCTACAAAGAGGCTGGCCTCAGCCCTGCTGATACTCAGTATGTCGAATGCCACGGTACTGGTACCGCAGCTGGAGACCCCAGAGAACTCCGTGCTCTCAGCTCTGTTTTCGCTTCTACCCGTGATGAGCCCCTCTGGATTGGTTCTGTCAAGACAAATATCGGTCATCTTGAGGGTGCCTCTGGATTGGCGGGTATCATGAAGGCAACAATGGCTTTGGAAAAACATCAAATCCCGCCAAACATGCACTTCAACACCCCCAACCCTGAGGTCGATTTCAAGGGATGGAAGCTGCGCATCCCTACAGAACCTGTTGAGTGGACGGTCCGCGAAGGTGTCGCTAGACGTGTCTCTATTAACAGCTTCGGATATGGAGGCACCAACGCCCATATTATCCTAGAGGAATACAACCGCCCATCATCCACTAAGCTGGCTCTCCCAGAGCCTTACGCTGAGATGACCAAGGATCGTCCTTATCTTGCACCGATTACTTCCCACTCCGACAAAGCTGGAAAGCTGATGGCTGATAAACTTGCGGCTTACTTGGAGGCAAACCCTGATATCAGCATTGCAGACTTTGCCACTACCCTTAGCATAGAGCGAAGCATGCATGATTTCCGTTCTTTTGCTTATGGAGCAACCAATGAAGCTGTCGTCAGCAACCTCAAGGAACCCCTACCAGTCGCTGCTTGGGTCAGCAAGATGACTTCTGCTCCCCGACTTGGCTTTGTATTCACCGGACAAGGTGCCCAGTGGTGGGGAATGGGCCGTCAGCTTATTGAAATGAGCCCACTCTTCCGCCAATCCTTAGAGAAGTGTGACGAAGTTCTCCAAGCTCTTCCAGATAAGCCCGATTGGACCGTTGTCGGCGAGCTTCTTCGATCTCAAGAAGATTCTCGCTTGGGTGAGACTCGATTCTCTCAGCCAATTTGCACTGCTCTTCAGCTTGCTCTGATTAACCTCCTTGCTTCCTGGGGAATACGCCCAACCGCTGTTGTTGGACATTCCAGTGGTGAACTGGCTGCTACTTATGCTGCTGGCATTTTGTCCTTTTCTAATGCCATGGTTGCCGCTTACTACCGTGGTCTCTACATGGGCAACGCAGCTGCCAGCTCTGATAGCGTCCCCGGTGCTATGATGGCCGTTGGTCTCACTGAATCTGAAGTTACCAATGAGCTCAAGCCATACGCTGGCCGCATTGCAGTTGCTGCTATGAACAGTCCTACCAGTTTCACTGTGTCTGGAGACGAAGATGCCGTTGTTGAACTTCAAGCTAAGCTCTCTGAGCGTAAAGTCTTCGCTCGTCGTCTCCAGGTCGGCCAAGCTTTCCACAGTCACCACATGCTTCCGCTTGCCCCTGGATATGAGCGTGCTATGAAGAATCACCCTGGATTTTCTCCTCAGCCTCCAACTGCTCGCATGTTCTCTAGTGTCACTGCCCGGGTTGCTGACTATCAGTCCATGGGACCAGCTTATTATGCCGCCAACATGACTGGTCAAGTCAAGTTTTCTGACGCTCTTACCGGGATTGTGCTCAATGAGGATGATGAGCAAAATATTGATGTTTTGGTTGAAGTCGGCCCTCATCCTGCTCTTAAGGGACCTTCCAACCAGACTCTTAACTCGCTTAACATCAAACTTCCATATCTCGGAGTTCTTGACCGTAAGGTTGCTGCTTATGATAGCATCCTTAGCGCTGCCGGTCAGCTATTTGCTATGGGATACCCTGTTGATATCCCTGCTGTTAACCAGGACAAATACATCGATGCCAACAACAATCTTGTTACCGTTGACAGTGGTAACAAACTTCTTGAATTCCCTAGTTATGCCTGGGACCACCAGAGATACTGGTCCGAAACCCGTGTCATCAAGAGCCACCGTCTTCGCAAATTCAGACATCAAATTCTCGGTGCTCAGATGCCCGGATGCCTCGAAGACCGCCCTAGATGGCGAAACTACCTCCGTTTGGCTGAGATGCCTTGGTTGGTGGATCATGCTGTTTCTGGAAAAGTTGTCTTCCCCGGAGCTGGATACATTACCATGGCCATTGAGGCTGCTATCCGCCTTGGTAATCCTGAAGACCCGATCAAAGAGATCCACCTTCGTGACATTGCTATCAAGTCCGCTCTCATGGTCAGCAACAGTGACTTGGGCACCGAAGTTTTGCTGGAACTTCGCCCAGCTACAGAATCAGCTAAGACTGTTTACTCAACCTGGAAAGAATTCGCCATTTTCTCCTTTGATGGTGACTCTATGAGGGAGCACTGTACTGGTCTGATTCAAGTTGAGATGGGTGAAGAACGTCCCGTCCATCGCATTAAGCAGCGAGCTCCTGCTTCAGAGCTTCGAGCCAGCAGCAACAGAACCTTGGCTCACACGAAATATTACCAACGACTTGCTACCATCGGCCTTCACTATGGACCGGCTTTCCAGTGCCTTAGCGGGAATGTGGAGTGTGGTAAAGGTTTTGCAACTGGAGAAATCACCTGGGAGCCTAAGAGGGTTTCCACTGGTGATGACTCCAGCGCCAGTGTCCTTCATCCTACCTTCTTGGATTCCTCCCTCCACCCAATCTTCGCAGCAGTGGAAGGCCTCATGGGCCACAGTATTACGGAGTCCTTTATCCCTACTTTCATGCGCTCTTTGAGAATTTCTGGTCTTCTTAACCGTAAGGAGTACAAATGCGATGGATTCAAGGCCAACGTTGCTGTCGACAGCTGGATGCACGGACCGCGTGTTGCCATTAGCAATATTGGTATTGAGTCCAAGGAGGGCCAGCTTCTTGCGGATATTGAAGGTCTAGAACTCACCAGTCTTGGAAGCGATGCTGATGACCAACAGAAGAGAACTCTTTTCTTCGGCATCCAGTGGAAGCCGGCTTTCGAGTTCCTGACTCCTGCTCAAGCCCAGAACCTCAGCGTCCCTGAGATTGTTGACCTCTACGTCCACCAGAACCCTAATTTGAACTTCCTTCACTACTCTGACTCCCATACCTCTACCTTGGACATCCTGAACCATCTTGGTGGCTCTAATGGAGAGAGACGCAAATTCGGCAAAATGACTGTGGTGCCAGTTGGTTCAGCGGAGGAGGCAAGCTTCTCTCCCCTTGTTGAACGCTGGAATGGCCTTGTTTCGCTCGAGGCCCCTCTTGATGAGAAGTTTGATGTGATAATAATCTCCTCTTTAGCTGAAGCTGCTTCCATTGAGAATCTCAACGAGAACGGCCTTGTTATATCCCATCCTGCAAAGGCTCCTACTGCTGACAACCTTAGACAATTATGGTCCACTTCGGAGGTAACCGTCTTGAAGGATGGTGTTGAATCAGTGTTCACTCCTGAGACTCTTACCATTCTTATGCCATCTAATCCATCTGCAGAGACTGAAGCTCTCGCCAAAAGAATTGAATCGACCACCTCAGCAAAGGTTACCAGAAAAGACTTCCTGTCTCTCAGAAATGGCACACGAATGGACGATAATGTTATTTCTCTCTACGCCCTCGATGTAAACATCTTCTACGATGAGCCATCCAAAGCTTTGAACGAATTCAAGGCAGTCCAGTCCCTCACAAGCGATGCAAACCGCAACATTGTTTGGCTTAGCCAGGGTACCTTCATGGATTGCCCCTGCCCAGAGCAAGCTATGTTCCCAGGCCTTGCTCGCTCTGTTCGTCATGAAACTGAAGACTTGAGAATTGCAATTCTTGATATCACTAAGTCTGCTAAGGTTGATCTCTCTGCCGATCTCATCCTCCGCATCCTCAACCCAACCCTCCATGAAGAAGAAATTGCGCTTCGAAATGGCCAAATCCATGTCTCCCGATTGCACGCAAATGATGAGTTGAACTCTAAGATTGCCGGAGGCTACAATCACCAGGCCACAATGCAACCACTTCACCAGAAGAACAGGCCACTCAAGCTCGTTATTGGACGACCTGGCCTCTTGGAAACCCTGTCATTTGCGGATGATACTGAAATTACCGATGAACCTCTCAAAGATGACGAGCTTGAAATCGCTGTTAAGGCATCAGCTATCAACTTCCGTGATATTGCTCTCAGCATGGGTATTATTGAAGATTACAAACTTGGAGACGAATGTGCTGGTGTTGTCATTCGCAAGGGATCCAAGGTTTCGGACGAAGACTTCCAGATTGGTGACCGTGTCGTCGCACTCCGCCCTGGTGAGGGTGCTCACCGGACCATTGCTCGGAACCCAGCCTGTTATTGCGCCAAGAGTGGTTCTCTAACCTTTGCACAGGCTGCAGCCTTTCCTCTGGTTCTCTCCACTGCGTATTTCTCTCTTATTGAGGCCGCGAGGCTTAAGGAGGGCGAGACCGTGCTCATCCACGCAGCTGCTGGAGGTGTTGGACAGATGGCCATTCAGGTAGCTCAATTAGTTGGAGCCAAGATTATTGCCACCGTCGGTTCTCAATCCAAGAGAGATCTCCTTAAGAACACTTATGGCCTTACTGACGACCAAATCCTCAACTCCCGTGACGACTCATTCGTTGAGGGCGTCCACCGCCTTACCAACGGATGGGGCGTGGACGTTGTCCTTAACTCCCTCGCTGGAAAGCTTCTCCATGCCACATGGACCTGTCTGGCTCCATTTGGTCGATTCATTGAAATCGGCAAGCGAGATATCCACCAGAACAGCAAGATCGATATGGACCCATTCAGAAAGAATGCTACTTTCGCCAGTGTCGACTTGGTTACTATGTTCAACTTGAAGAACCGATCAATTGCTACGAAATTGTTCAAGGAATGCTGCGAACTCTTCCAGCAAGGAAAGATTCGCTCCATCCCTACCGTTGAGCTCGAATATGCCGAGTGCGAGAAAGCATTCCGCATGCTCCAGCTTGGTAATGTCGCTGGTAAAGTCGTTCTCGTTCCTGGAGATGATAACCAAGTCCTTGTACAGCCAAACACCAATGATAGCAAGGCAACTCTCAAGTCTGACAAGACATATCTCCTTGTTGGTGGTCTGGGTGGTCTCGGCCAGAAACTTGCTGAATGGCTTTACCGCCGAGGAGCCCGGAAACTGGCATTCCTTTCTCGATCTGGTGCGGACAAGCCTGAAGCCAAGGCTGTTGTCCAATGGCTTGAAGACAGAAATGTCAACGTTCAAGTGTTCAAAGCCGATGTAGCCAACTTCGATGGAGTCAACAACTGTGTCCTAGCCATCAAGGATAACCTTGCGGGTGTCTTCCAGGCTGCCATGGTTCTTCAAGATTCGCCCTTTGACAAGATGTCTTTCGATCAATGGAGAATTTGCACCACCCCTAAAGTTATGGGAACATATAATCTTCACAAGGCTACCCTTGATATTCCTCTCGATTTCTTCGTTTGTTTCTCCTCCCTTTCTGGAGCTGTTGGAACTAAGGGACAAGGAAACTATGCTGCCGCAAACTCTTACATTGATTCCATTTGCCGATACCGACGAGAGAACGGCCTGCCTGCCACTACCATGGATATTGGTATGGTCGTTGGTATCGGTGCTGTGTCTGAGGATGCCCAGCTTCAAGCTGTTATGGAGAGAGTTGGCTATGACCCGGTCAATGAAGAAGAGTTGTTCCATCAGATCGAAACATCCGTTTCTTGGGACCAGTACAAGACTCTTGACAGCAATGGCTTCGATGCCCACCAAACAATCACCGGTCTTAACATGAGACGTCCTGACTACTACTGGACTTCCGGCCCACGCATGAAGAACATCTACCAGAACCATGACTTCACTTCTTCTGGTAATCTCGGCAAAGCCCAGAAGAGTGTTATGGCCCTTCTTCGCGCCGCAGACACCGCTGATGATAGGCTCAATATTCTAATCGAGGCCTTCATCGAGAAGATCGCCCTCATCCTGTCTATCGATATTGAAAACGTCCAACCTAGTCGCAGTCTTGCTGATTACGGTCTTGACAGTATTGTCGCTATTGAAATTCGTAAATGGTTCTTCAAGACTGTTGGCGTTGAACTCGCCCTATTCGACGTCCTTGGAAGCTCAAGCATTCGCGGCTTGGTTGAAAAGGTGTCCGAAGCAGTTGTGTTGGAAGAGGCCGAGACCGAGGATACCTCCAAGCAGCAAACCTCCTCGCGCACTGCTAGATCATCCAGCACCAAGAATGCTGGAGATCATCCACTTGGTGAAAAATCCTTCAAAGTTTCTCCTGGAGATGAGGTTCCTATGTCAACTTTCCAGAGAAGATTGTGGTTCATTCATAACCTGATTGAAGACAAGTCCTTCTTAAACTTGCCTCTATGCGCCACTATCAAGGGCAAGCCTGACATTCAAGTCTTCCAGATGGCTCTTGAGGAGCTCAAGCGACGAAATGACGTTCTTCGCACTGCTTACTTTGAAGGAGAGTCCTTCGCCCAGCAGATGGTTACCGATGACTGCTCTGTGGAGCTCAACTTCCTCGATTTCACTGATGCCCACGATGTTGAAGCCGATATTGAGGATTTCATTGAAGAACAAACCCATGAACCCCTTGACATTGAAAACGGCGAGAACATTCGCTTTACTCTCATCCAAACTGGAGAAGAGGAGTTCACAGTGGTCACTATCGCCCACCACATCTCCTTCGATCGTGGTAGCAGTGAGTCTCTTCTAGACCAAGTTTGCAACCTATATAACTGCCTACGCAACGGTGACGACTTGGATGGCGTTAAACAACCCGCAGCTTCATACTCTGAATTCACCATGTGGCACAACGAACGCCTTCAGTCTGAAGAGCAACAAAAGGATGTCGACTTCTGGAAGGCCAAGTACCATGATCTTCCCGGCCCTACTAAGCTGCTTCCATTTGCAAAAGCAGAGCGACCAGAGTCTAACGACTATAAGAGGAGCATACACCAAGGCCTGCTAAAGAAGGGAGCCCACCAGAGAATGAAGAGAGTCTGCGCCCGGCTTGGAATAACACCTGCCCAGTTCCTCATGGCCGCATTCAGAGCTTTCATCTACCGCTATACTGAGCAGGATGACTTGACTATCCACATGATTGATGGAAACAGACCTCACCCATCCGTTAGCGACACCGTTGGATTCTTTGTCAATGTCATCCCCGTCAGATGCGCCACCAACAACGATACTGACTTTGAGAGCTTCCTCCGCGAAATGAGTGGTTTGATTCTCGAATCTCTATCTCATTCAAATGTTCCATTCGACCTTATTGTCGATGCAGTTGGTGTTCCAAGGAACCCTGCATACTTCCCACTCGGCCAGGTTGTTGTGAACTACCAGATGCATGGAAAGATCCCAACCTACTCTACTGATGATTTCAATATGATTGATATCCGAGGAAAGGATGTTCCCACTGCCAGCGAAATGCAGCTCGAGGCCACCGAGGACCCCGATGAGGGGCTTAAGCTTTCCCTCGAGTTCTCCAGCACCTTGTACGGCAACTCTGAAATGGAGCGTTTCTTGGACAACTTCATCGCCTTCATGAACAGCGCCATTCGCGACCATCGCCAACCAATCTCCGAAATTTCAATGGTCGGCCCAAAGGAGCTTTCTCACTTGAAGAACAATTTCTTCGCCATGGATTTCACTGAGAACACCTGGGAGAACCAGTCTGTCGCTTCCCGTATCATGGACATCGCGCGCCAATACCCCAACGATGTGGCCATTGAGACCTCTAACGGAAGCAGTATCAGCTACAAGACCCTCGTTGAGAAAGCGGAGAGAGTTGCGGCTGCAATTGAATCTAAGGGAATTGATTCCGGATCTAAAATTGGAATTTTCTCGACTCCTGGAGTGAACGCTATTTCCGCAATGGTCGGTACTCTCTTTGCTCGCTGTGGTTATGTTGCCCTCGACCCCAGCTTCGCTACTGAGCGTCTCTCTTTCATGGCCAATGACTCCGGAATGAAGCTTCTTTTGACTGAAAAGGAGCTCGAGGCTAGAGCTAGAGAGATTTCCAACAAGTCCAACTCCCCGTTGGACTCCGTTGTGATGGAGAACATCTCAGAATCATCACAGCCTATTCAAGGGCCGCTCAAGACTGCGAACAATGACCCATTCTACATGATCTACACCTCGGTAAGTTTCTTCTCCTCTACACAACCCTCCCATGAGGAATACTACTTCGCGTTAAGAATATTATTGAGAGAGAAATTTGATTTTAATGTATTCAAAGGGAAGCACAGGCACCCCAAAAGGTGTAGTCTTGAGTCAATCAAACACTCAACAGATGCTCAGCACCTTGCATCACGACTATAAATTTACCACCAAAGACCGTTTCCTTCATCATTCTTCTATTTGTTTTGATTTATCTATTGTTCAAATTTTTTCTGCACTTACCTGCGGCGCCCGCGTCTGCGTTGCTACCGCTGCTACTCGAAAGGACCCTGTTGCTCTCGCCAAGTACATGGAATCCTCTCAGGTTACTGTTACCTATTTCACTCCTACTCAATTTGCCCTTCTCATTGAAAACGCAAAGCCATGTCTCCAGAACATCCGCAAATATCGAATTGCTTACTTCGCTGGTGAACGACTGCCAGTCCGCGTGGCCAGGGCCTTCTACGATCTCGGAACCCCAGCTGTGGTCCTGAACACCTGGAGCCCCAGTGAGCTTGTGGTCCAAACAACCATCCAACAGGTTGAATACCCTAGCGAAGATGAAGTCAGCATCCCAATCGGATTACCTATGGCAAACACACGACACTACATTCTTGACAAGAACTGCCAACCCCTCCCTGAGGGGTTCATCGGTGAGATAGTTGTTGGAGGAGCTCAAGTTGGCCTTGGATACCTTAACCGACCAGAAGCAAACCGAAGCTCGTTCGTAGCCGATCCTTTCTGCTCCGAAGAAGACCGTCAAGCCGGTTGGACAAGAATGTTCCGAAGTGGTGACAAAGGCCGGTTCCGCCCAGATGGAAGCCTGGAGTTCCACGGTCGCATTGCCGGTGACAAGCAAATCAAACTTCGAGGTTTCCGTATAGATCTTGGTGAAGTTGAACAGAGACTATTTGTGGAATCCAAGGACGAATCCGGAGAGCCACAGATTGTCGATCTTTCCGTCGTTGCCCGTTCGCCCACCACTGCTGATTCTCAGGATATCACTGATAACCGCCAACTAATTGCATTCGTTGTCACCAAGAAGCCATTCGCCGACCAGAAGAGCAAGCAAGCATTTGCGTTTGACCTGAACAACAAGGCAGGCCGCCATCTTAATAACTATATGCTTCCAAACGGTTACCAATTCCTCGATGCTCTCCCAGTCACCATTGGTGGGAAAGTTGATCGCCAACGTCTACTCAACTGCGACCTTTCCTTGACCTTCCCTACCGCCGCAACCGAGACGGTTGAATCTCAAGCGCCAGCACCAAATGATAGGCCTGATGATAAACTTGTCAATACCGTCTTGCAAGGCTTCCAGGAAATCCTGAAGCTGCCCGAGGATCAAGAAATTGGAGTCAATGATAGCTTCTTTGAGCTCGGTGGCCAGAGTATCCTTATGCTCCGGCTGCAGGCCAGGCTCAAGCGTGTCCTCAAAGTCACTCCAACACTTGCAATGATGTTTGAAAAGCCGACCCCTATGGGCATTGCTCATGCCATCTGGAGCAAATCCAAGGATGCTACTGACGGCGAAATCGACTGGGACAAAGAAACGGAATTGATTGACGCTCCTCAGTATACCCTAGACCAAAGCCTACCCGACATTTCCCCCTCTCAGATTACTGATGTTCTCCTTACCGGTGTTGAGTCCTTCCACGGAATCCACATGCTTGCTACTCTACTCCGTGAAAGCCCCCAGTTGACAATCCATGTTCTTGGCCTTGAGGAGCCGATGACCTCCGAGGATGTCTTCAAGGTGCTGGACCAGTGGGATTTACTGCAGTTCTTCCCTGACCGCGACGCTGTCACTTCCCGTATCCAATGCGTCCCTGGTGCGATGGCTCACCCACACCTGGGCTTATCAACTCCCGACTTCAAGAAACTCGGGCAGACCATCCAGGCCATCTACAACTTCGCCTCTCACGTCTCTCTCCTTCAATCCTATGACGACCTTCGAAGCTTCAATGTTGAACCCATCCGCGATATCATCGAACTCGCGACATTTGGCAGGGTTAAGGTTCACATCCACCACCTCTCTACCTGGTCTGTTATGCACATTCAATCATGGCAGACCACCATCCGCAAGCGAAGAGGCCGCCCGGTTACCCAAGAGACCAGTGCCAGCCATTTCACCCCCGAAGGCACTAGTCGCTTCGGCTACTTCAAATCACGATGGGCATCCGAGATGTTGATTGAAAAGGCTGCGTCTCGAGGCATTCCCTGCACCATTTACCGTGCCTCTGCCATAACTGCAAGCACGGAGACGGGAGGAATCGAGCCGGACGACAGCTTTGCGCGCCGCATGGTTCTCGGCATCGTGGAGTCCAACGGCATCCCCAAGATCGGCCAGCGCGGCCTCGAGTTTGTGATCGACTTTATCCCGATCGACTACATGACCAAGTGTGTGCGTGCTCTGTCACTGTCTGACGGACTAAGCCGTCAAGAGAACGTTGCTACAATCCACCACATCACCAACCCAAGCCCAGTCAAGACCCCTCAACTAGTCGACATGATGGCTGAGATCAAGTCTGACCCCAGCGTGAAGGCAGAGATCCTAAGCAAGGACGACTGGCTTGACGGAATGCAGCGTATCGACACCGAGCCAGGCGCGGAGATCCGATGGACTGTGCTCAAGAGCTACTTCGAGGTCGGCCACAACATGTTTGCGCTGGACCAGAGGAAGACCAAGGCGATACTCAAGGATCTGGGAGTCGAGCCCTGCTTCAGCATCGGAGTTGATGTCCTGAAGGCTGTTTATGAGAAGGAGAAGATGGCTCGCACGCCTAAGGCGTAGGCAAAGCCACTACTCACAACGGCCAAACCAATGACCAACCAAGATATCAAGAGCAAAAAGAACCAAAAGTGAATGAACCAGAGAGCATAATACCAGAGAATGAGAACCAACAGCCCAAGCAAAACACCGCCCACACCGTTCCTTTCGAGTTGTTAGCGAGGAGTTGGGGAGTTGCATGATTTATGTCGAAAACCGCCCGAAAAAAAAAAAAAAATTGCAAACGAGAAAATAAAGAAACCAAAAAAAATAACACTATTTCCTTTGTCACTGCGAGATAATCCGCTATGGAGCACCTAATGTTTGTCTGTCTTGTTTAATATTCTGTTTCTTCTTTTTCCTGGATTCCGGCATGATGCTGGCTCGTCGTCGCCGGCGGTCCATATTTTTTGTCCCTTTTAACGGAGCGAGCCACCGAGAAGAGCGTCACCAGCCTGCCCGGCAAAGATGTTCGATCTGGGTCTCTCTCCCTTTGTGTTTTAGAATAACTACTTAGCATATAGACCGCGTGAATATAGACTGCATTTCATCCATTACTCTGAGTGTTCCAGCAAATCCGCAAAGGTCTAGAAGCCTGAGAAATAACTCTACGGGAAGAGCCCGCACCACCACCGCCATCGCCATCGCCATTACAGTATGAGAATATCAAAATAATAATAATAACCATAGACAACGAGCAAACAGCGAACAGCCGGCTCTTTCTTCGTCCCCGCCGTCGTCTCGTCGAATCAGACAGCCGGAGTGACGGGCGGCTTCGTGACTGTGTGTGACTCTTGAGCACATCCGCTTCTGGCCCTTCCCTGCGATAAGGCTGATCCCCCCCCGGCTCTCCTTTTTTGCTTCTTCTTCTTCTTCTTCCGCCAGCATCTCCATCGTTCAACCAGCAGCCAGCCGTGGGACGAGCCAACCAACGACGACGGACACGACGACGGCGAGAGACACACTAGCCGGGGACTAACGACGGCCAAACCAGGGATCGCAGTCGCCCGCCTGGGCCTGTCGGATGCCTGCGCCGGCCTCTATCAAAGGGTGTGTGGCTGTCCGCTGTCCGCTGCCTGCTGCCTGCTGCCTGCCTGCGCCGTCCCCTTGACCGCGGCGGCCACGACGGCGGCACGCCTGACGGAGGGAAGGGATATGAGATATAAGGACGGACTGCGGCCCCTCCTCTCCCGCTTCAGCTTCCTGCTTGCTAACAAAGACGCAGGTTGAGACAGGCACGAAGACCAGCAGAGGGAAAACGACCGAGACGCCGCGCTGCCCTACTCCACCGCGGAGGACAGAGGACTGAGGGACTGAACCCAGAGCCCACTTCGTCTGCCCATTTGCCGCTGCCGGGGTCCAGGGCAGACGCAGCCCGCAGAGAAAGAGAAGAGACTCACACCAGACGGGCCTTGTCTGGCTCCCTGGATGCGCCCTTCTTGACCTTGGCCTGATGCCGGCCGCGGTCTCGGCTTAGAGAAACTCTGGCCTGCTTGCTTTTTCCGTTGCCCTCGCTTGGTTTGCACCGCCCGGCCTGTCTTCTTGTTTTTTTGTCATATCTGATGCGCCGGAGATTTGATATATAACCATCTATACGCGCCCCCCCCTCGTCGCCGGACAGAACTCCCATCATATCCGATAAGTCATAAGAAAGGCAGAGGAAGACGATAGCCCATTGAAAAAGGGAGGACGATAAAAGGCCCTACGACACCACCACAATCGGTCGATCGACTTGGAAACCGGGAGCAGCGGCAGCAGCAGCAGCGCTAACAGCATGTTTGAGGGCTTCTCGTTCCCGGCTCCTGCGCTGCCTGCAGTGCAGCCCGAGATCGATAGTCTGCAGTTCCAGTGCGACAGCAACCTGGTCTCGCCTCTATCGTCTCGGTGTCCTTCGCCCCGGCTGCCGTCGCCGTTGAATTCGCGGGACTTTCCTCGTCTCAACCGCCGGTCGAGGCAGTTCCCTCACTATCACCACCATCACCATCACCACCACCAGCACCAGCACCTCGGCCCTGCGCCCACATCCATTCCCGCAGAGTACTCGGCAGAGCGCAGCCAGCGGTTCTCTATCGGCTCCCTGACGAAGCAGCTGCATGCTCACTCGCTCGAAACCGGCGGCGGCCAGGACGGCGGCAGCGACAGCGACGACGGCGGGCGGTGGCTGCCCATAACCCCCCCACGGTGCTCGACCGATGCCCAATATCAGAACTTCGCCCTGCTGGATGCGTTGCCTGCTCAGTCAAGAACGGAGAACGACCTGGTCAGGTTGTCGTCGCCGTTCTATCCTCCGCCCCTAGACTCCACTGCCTCGCCTCCTCCGAGTCCCCGAGGCGCCCATGTCGTCGACCATGGCCATGATCGTGGTGAGCATGGCAAACTGCCTTTGCAAGATCAAGATAAATCCTCCGAGATATTCTACTCCTCCATGCCCCACAGCCGATCAAGCATTGTCGATAATGGTGATAGCATCAATAATATCAATAATATCGAGGATGCTGACCGGCCAGGCGACGTCCGGTACCAGCGTGAGAAGTTCTCGATGCTGCAATGCGCCTCCTCCTCCATCGCCGACACCGTCCGTCTCGCCCTCCTACTAGACAGTGGTGTTGACTGTCCCCCGGATCGTCGTCGGTCCTCATACGCATCAGCAGCAGCAGCAGCAGCAGCATCAGTGGCTCCTGGGGAGTCCTGCGATGCAGCCGCGGGCTATATCAGCGACGATCAACACCCCAGCTCCCTCCCGCCGTCACGCACACCTTCGAAAAGACGGCTGCTAAGGCAAAAACACCCTAATAATGACAACCACGCCCACACCCCTCTGGCGAGCGGGTGCGCAACATCGAGTCGCTTCTCCGGCGCTGGCAGCAAGGGGAAGGTCGAGAAATCGCAGCACCACGGCCACAGCCACAGCAGCACCGGCACATCAACACCCAACCCGAGTAGGAAGTTCGGCAAGTCGCAGTATGGTCTTCGGCGGAGGAGTCTACTGCTAGCCGCTGTCACGGCGGTTCTTGAACAGGAGGTGGCGGAGTCCAACAGGATGCAAGACTGAAAAGAAAAAAAAAGTGCTTCTATAGAATAACCCAGCTCTCTTCTCTATTCCTACACACCATAAAAATCCCATAGCATGACGACGGAGATACCCAAGTCCTAGCCTTAAGAGACTCCGTCGAACTACACAAGGCCCTTTTGTAACCGATATGAACTCCAGATCCGATCTTGAATTATCAACTATTGTTTGCAGAGAGAACAGAAATCTAACAGTCAAAAAGGAAAAGAAAAATGTAATTTGACAAAAAAAAAAAAACAAAAGAAACGACAGCAAGATAGAGAGAGAAACGGTTCCAGGGGTAACAAACGAAAAACAATAAAGGGAGGGAGTTCAGGGGCACCAAGATCATCGTTCCTCAACAGACATATCCATATCCAACCCCTATTCCCTCACAGGGCGGTTAAACAAATGGCCAGCACCACAACCAGTGCGATAAGAGTAAATACCCCATAAGAAACGGCCAACTGGCTAGCCCAATACTTGTCCTTGACGTGAAACTCGGTAATGGCTCCGTTGGATCGCCAGCGGATCAGCTCGTCGGCCAACTTGCCCTCGAACCCAATATACGCAACAACAAACCATCCAAAGGGTACCAAAAGCGAAAAGATCATGATCAGCTGTCTTCCAATACGTCGTTGAGCGCTCAAGTTGGTGCCTCCGTGAACGCCGGCCTGTTCTGCAGAGCCTAGAGCATCGACATTCTGGTTCTGATACTGTCGACGGGGCTGGGGTGTTAGGCGCGGCGGCTCCGGGAAGACATGGCGGCCATAGGTAGAACAGTATGCGTCTGGTACGCTGCCTGTTTCTTCGTCGATGGTAGCGAAGAAAGATGATGCTCCGTTGACGGTGAATTGCTTTGCTGGTTGGCAGGTCGTCCAGGGGGAGCGGACACAGGACTCGTGCAAAGATGGTGAATGGTTTGAGAGCACAACCGAAGCCGTTTCAATTCGGTCCAGACGTTCACGGAGCAAGTCGTCTGGGTTGGGGCTTCGGAGCTTTCTTGCAGTGCTAGCACTTTGGATACGCGTTGGGGGACGGCTGCTGCGCATGGCTGGTGGTGACATGGCAAGGATAGATCTGGGACTAGATACCCGTTCTCGTTCAGCTGGATGATCGTGCTCGTCCATGTTGGAGTTGATATCGCGTCGGTATTCGCCTCTAGATGAAGCTCGCGTGTCCGGCCGGGCAGAGAGAAGACGCTCGCCCGTGGTGGAAGTTGAATTGTTCGTCAGCGTGCGGTTGTGGCGGTGGTGACGGTAGTTGCGTGCCTTGTCACGAGCAGCTCTGATAGAAAGGTACAGAGAACCAGGGGTGTTTCTTGAAGTCGAGGTGACGCCGGACACAAGGCTGCTTAATGAGCTGACGCGAGAACGAGCGGGCGTTGATCGATGGCAGACACGCGTAAGGGGCTCAAGCTCGATGTCTTCCTCAGTCGTGCAGGAAGCCCGAGGCCCAAGTGAGGGTGTCTGTGGCCGGGCTGTTTGAGATGCAGAAGAGGGAGTCACAGGCAACGGATTTTTACTGTCAAAGAGGTCAGTTGTTGTAATTTCATGTGATGCTGAGCTGGAGGTTGGATGATGATGGTAATGAGAGTGATGATGAGGGTGATGGTAAGGGTGAGGGTGAGGGTGAGAATGGGAATGGGAAGAGGAAGAGACGTTGCGGCTGTGAAGGGATGTTGCGTCTCTCACGCCTCTGATGGTGGAGGAAAAAGGGGCAGAGTGAAAGGAGTGCTGCGACTTCATGCTGCTAAAGGCTGGTTTTGTCCACCATGCTGATGCTTCCATTGATGCTCGGGCTGGCAAAGGCCGCAAGCTTCTGATGGGACCAGAGCCATGGTGGCCAGAGTTGAATGGGTTGTCGCTGTTGTTGTTGATGTTGTTGATATTGTTGTCATTATCATCTTGAAAGGTCAACTTACTGCTGCGAATTGCAGACACAAAGCCGGACTTCGAATCTCGCCCAGACTTTGCATGCCGCTCGCTCGGATGAATCTCGTTCAGGGATGGGGGAGTGGATTGGAAGGGGTTCGGATGGGTGTCTCGAAGGGGGGACGGGTGGTGGTATTGGGAATTCGAAGCCGCTCGCGGAGCAGGCTGTTGCGCAGTCGATGCCATCAGGGGCGGCGCAGTGCTGTACAGCATTTCGGGGTCCCTAGGGTATTCGGACATCGAGTAAAGGTGACGGGGGAAACTAGGAGCACTAATTTCAGGGAATCGACGTTGGCGAGTGGTATGCAACCAGCTAGGGCGGCGGAACCTAGGGGATCTATCACGGAATGGGAATCTCATTTCACTGCTTCCCTGGTGAGACTGTGAGGGTATATCCATCAGGCTTCTGTTGGCCAGGGTCCCAGCGCTGGAGTAATTGGCCAAACTGCTACCTGACTCCAGGTTGGGTACTGGGATCCGGGACCTGGATCCAAACATCTGGCTCTCAGTAACCGTCTCCCAATCTTTTTCGGATCCTCCTTCATCTAGTTCAATGTCACTATCACCATCAAGTACAGAGCTAATACTCTGCTTGCCTTTATGCTTTGCCAAAGTCGAGATGCTTTGCTCTCGTTTCTTATTTGGGCGCGGACTTCCAAGATGAGCATGGAAAAAGGGATGGTAGCTCTTGCTTTTATCTTTAGGCTCGCACGGTGCCGCAGACTTTGGACGCTGAGGAGTCCTCAATGCCATTGACGATGAAGTATGCATGCTGAGTCTGTTGCTTGACGAGCTCTGGCTACTCCCAGGACCCAGATCTTCATAATAGGACTCTGCACCAGCCATCCTCTCGGCTTGGGAAAGAGAAAATTCCTGATCTGGTGGCCGTTGCAGGACAGAGGAAATTCTCTGCTGTCCCTGGTTATCTCCATGGTAGGGCAGATATGACGTCGAGAGCCTTGGGAGGTCCATATGGCATGTTTTGAAAGGAGAAGTTGCATCAGATGTTTGAGGTCGACACTCTGCACGATGATCAGCTTTACGATGTCGAGAACGAGATGACATTGGCCGAGAGAAGTTGGGACCAAATATGCTTGTCCGTTGCATGTTCTTGGGAAGGTTCTCGGAAGAAACTTGATCGGTTGTACCAGTGAGGATAAAAGATTTCCATTCCTCAAGCCGCTTACTGTCGGTGAAAGAGAACGGGGATGACCGCGCAGCTGGTGAATCATCGTGGTTGCTTTGGGGAACAATTTCATGGCTTTCATCACCAGTAGTGATTTCTTGATGACCAGTGGAAAAGTGATGATGCGAGCAATTTGGTTGCGGAAGTGTTAGAGCGGATGTTGCTTGAATGTGGTCCTCTATTTCATCAAGAGCTGAACCCGGCCTCGAATTGTTACCCCTATTGATTATGTCGTTAATGATCTTTGGTTTCTCAATGCGGCCGCGAGCACCGTGCAAGTTTGGTTGGCGTCGATTCAGGAATGTGGAGATAATCGGGCGTAGACGAGGACATCCAGGGGAAAGGGGTTCATTTGTGCCGTAAAGCCGACGCTTCACAAGTTTGTTGGGCTTTGTTTGAGAATTGGATGGGTGGACGGCTTCATCCACAACTTCATCTACAACTTCTGAAGCAGCATAGGTCTCTTCTACTATGGGCTGTTCTGCGGTAGGCTGCGAGGTCTCCGAGTCTGGATGTTCAATTTGAATTTCTTGCGAGGAAGAAGGCTCAACATCAGAGACCATAAATTGGTCATGGTGAGCTGTGGCTTCGTTGGGAACCTGTGGTAAATGCTCATCACTATATGCCGTAGGGTTGGCCGGCCTATTTTTGCTGGAGGACCCCGAAGTGATCGAAGAATAAGCGGTAGGAAGATCTTCAAACAAAGCACGAGAGGGAGTACACCTCCTTTCGGGGCCCAAGGAAGCAGAGCGCCGGCGAAGCCTTGGGGGCGGTGATTTGGCTGGCTTAGGGATTTCGATGTCCATGTCTAGGGGACTTGGAGTTGGCATTTCAGTTTTTCTAGGGCTACCCGTCTCAGCCAAAGTTGGTGACAGAGAAGAGCCCGTATGCCTTCGAGGTGTCAATATCTCAAATGAAACACCCTTATGGCGAAGAGTCCTAGGCAGGGCAGATTCAGAGGCTGATTTGGTATGTGCTGTGAATCTTGTTGGTATCTGTCGAATAGAGTCGCGTAGGGTGCTCTGGCGCGTCATTGTTAGTGAAACTGCAGGTAACTGGGAATATATCAAAACAGGAGATAAAGATAGATGGCCATATATGAAAAATATTGATCAGACTTACTTACCAAGGTCCTATACTGGGATTTGTTTTCTGCTGGTGCTTCAAATAGAGGGTTTTGTGTTGTCAATGTACTTTGTGGTGTTGCGCGTTCAAAATCCAGAAAAGCCCCATCTATAGGTGAAACTTCACAGCTTGTAGCAGTATTAGACGCGTTGTGATATCCAGAACTAAAGGTAAGATGATCTAGCTCAAGGATAGGAGACACTGGTCGACTTGGTTCAAAAGGAGAAGCAGATGCTGGAGGGGTTGCTGGTGGTGAAAGGGGGATGGTGTTCCCTTGTCTGTTGTTCAGATTTGTAGTCTTTGGCTTCCTTTTCAACATCCTTCTCGGAACAGTAGTTGTTCCGTCCTGAGCATCACTATGTGATAATTTCCTGCGATATTCATGCAGTGAGAGCTTCCCTGACATAGAACGGGTGTGGAGAGGGGTTTGAACAGACACCAGGAGAGTAGGAGCAGGGCTAATCGGAGGCGAGGGAGACTGGTATTGAGATGGAGACGTTGACGGTGACCCGATACGGAGAGGAGCCGGAATAAGAGATCTCCTCAATGCAGAGTGAAGGTCAGCACCACCAGTGTGTTCATCCATCAGGAGCAGTGACTCCCAGGGAATTTGATTCGTCTCCAAGGCGACCCCGGCCATGGTTTCATGGATCAGCTTTCCCCGGGAGTTGAGGCGGAGAGAGTCAGCTGGGAAAGTTTCAGCGATATTTTGAATGAGGATCAAAGATATTAATTCATGCAAATGAGGTATAGTAACCAGGTATCCGAGCAGTAGTATGAGCGCACCAATTGGGGCCGGATTAGGCTCGAGATGCAGCAGCTTGGCCTTTGCCAACAGGTGTTAAGCCTAGGGTATCTCGCCCGGTGGTGGATAATAGTGAATATAAGCCGGTTAGATAAATATTGAATGTCCGAGAACGAGCGCAGGCTATGTATGTTGTTTTGTATGTTCAAAGGTCAAGTGCCAAAGAAAGGAGCAGGAAGTATTACTGATTCAATGAGGGGGGGAGGAGACAATGGCCAGCCACTGTTGAATCCTTCTTGTAAAATATATTTGCAATAGTAATGGCCCAACAGCTAGATCCAAATGTGGAATATAACGATTGATATAAAGATCCTGCTGACTATTGCATAGAGGTTCAAATGATAGTGACTGAAGGGATATATTCACATGAAAAGCAAGTGATGAAAGAAAGCAAAAGATGAAGAATGCATCAAAACACACAAGGTTAGCAGCAGGAGAAGCGCAAGAGACAAGACATTAAAGCTTCTAGCGAATCCCGCAGAAGCATGACCCTGCAACCTCTACTGCAGACCCGGGATTCTTCACACCCTCATGCGGGAGGAGAGAGAAATTTGGAAAAAAACAAAAAACAGAGATGCTCTGCAGAAAGGGAACATCAGAGGCTATCTTCGAGGTGATGTATGGGACGGGGTTCCCTAGACCCTTTAACGTAGCATCAATCATTCATATTGATGAAATTTCTTTTCTACGTGTCGTACCTGAGAGGTACCACACCACCCAGAACCGGCACCCACCTAGTGGGCTTTGAGTTACCAGCCAGGCTTCTGGGATTTGTTATGGTATCCTTATTCGTTTTGCCTCAGGGAACACGACATCCATCGTCTGGGAGCTGTGAGTCGCTGGATGGAGCGCGGAAGTTGGGTATGAACTCGCCTGGCCTGGATGGCATCTCTGGGTATGCGAGTGGAGAGCCAGAGACGCAGCAAAAGAAAAAGCAACGAGTGGGAACAACCTGCTCGACTGTTAGCCAATCATGGGCCCAAACATCGGTCTGCCCTCGCTGCGCATCGCAGCCACTTACAGGCCTGGACGGTGTTTTTCGTCTCTGGGTGGACAAGGGGAGCCGGCAATGGGCAGCGTCGAGAGGCTGAGGCGGAAGTCAAGATTGCGATCGCAGGCGTCTCATGACCATCCTCGCTGCCGGCTGGCCCTCACCGGCGCCGCGAGAAGAGAGACGTCTCATTCCTGGGCCCTCCTCCCTGTCCGTCGTCTTCTGCGTCGTCTTCGTCCTGCGGTTGTTCTGCTCTTTGCCCTTCCTTGTCGTCTTTTTCGTCTTTTTCGTCTTTTCTTCGAGCGAGGAAAATCATCTCGGTCACATGACCTGTCTACTACTAGGTAGGTTCCAAGGCCATCTCTTAACTACATCTCGAAGAACCGACGGCGATGGAGACGACAGGACGACAAGAAAAGCCAAAGAAAAGCAAGGAGACGGCAGAGAGACCACAAAGGGAACACAGGGGGAACCAGGAGAAGCGGCTTTCGCTGCGGGATAACCAAGATTGACGTCCCACAAGCTCACCACGGCCGCAGTTGTCATGGCCTGCCCCTGATCGTATCCATGCTCTCACATCACCAGCCAGCGACTCATGATCAGTTCCCGACCTCCTTCGCGCACACACCCATCATCATCATCCGCTCCCGAACACGCTGGCGAGTGTCATATACACCGGGTTTTGACGCATGTCTTCGCACAAGTCCGAGATTCGACGGCCAGCAAGCTTCGTCTCCCGTCTTCTTTGCGTCAATCTATCCACATCTCGATAGCCGTGCATTCGATGCATCATGATGCCCCATGGCTGACCGATTTACCTTCCCGCAGACTCAATGCATGCAATCAATCATATGAGGCGCCAATGGGTCGCTAGTACTCCATATCAAATGCCAGTATTGTCTTTTCGGCTGATCATGCCATGTTTTGGGGAAGGATACAGTTCAAGGCTCCTCGCACTTAGCCGGTTTCATGGCGGAGAGCCTTTCGACATCTCGCCAGCCTATTCAAAGTGCCCTGTTCCATCACGGTAGCAAATGGCTGAGCTTCGAGTTAAGCCTCTATATGCAGGGCCGTTAGTGTCACGGACGCTCGGATAAGAGACCCTTCAATACTTTTCTCCCAGCCTAGCCCGCATCGTGGGGGGGGGGGCTTAGCCCCTCCATGAGAAAATAGAGCTGAAGGGGAAACATGTGAAGAAACTAACGAGTACGGGCCATGAGGAGGCTGATATGTCACTCTTAGCCTCTCGTTATATGCAGAAGTACATGTTGCTCCAGTGCATCGCCCTGGGATAAGCCGCATTAACCCACCCCCCATAGCTCCTTATTGTGGCTGACCATGCAGCTCTCTATATGCTTTTCGTCGATAAGAGCTGAGCATATTAGGAGGCACCTTTAACCGATCTATTTTACGCTCAACTGCCCCCATTTTAACGGGCATGCCGAATCCACCTTGAAATCTGAAACCGTCCTACTTACATACAACCATAGCTCCCCACATGAGGAGTAAACAGCCCGTTTGCAGCGTTGTAGTTATACTGACTATCCCAAACGCTTATTTGGATAAGCTACTTGAAGACCACAACAACATGTTTTGCATGTGAAAGAGGAGGATCATATAATGATAAGGTAGCATCGATATTTTTGTCCCAACTAAGAATGGGCATGTATAAAACATCTACGGAGTACGGGCTGTCCGATTCTGATCAATCTGAGCTCTGCTAAGGATAAACTTTACACTCAAGAGTGTATTCATGGTAATGATAATCTTCCACCTATATACAATGCTAGATGCGAAGAACAGATAAGCACATATGATGTCAACAAAATGGCTAAGATATTAGTTAAACATCGAACAATAACAATCTCTGGCAATAGCCCGTATGCTAGATATGCGGAAACATAATAAAAGGCAAATTGTGGCTCAAAAACTCCGGAGCACCCTCCTCAAATAACTTTCATCATGCATGATTCATTCTGGAAAAGAAAATGTAAGCGAACAGATAGACAAGGAAATGTGAGATAAATAAATGCTCCATCGTAAGTCTTCATTCACATCTCGTTTAAAAATGAAATGATTGCCTCTCATCGCGCCAATAGATACCCAAACGCAGATGAGTAAGGAAAAAAAAAAAAAAAAAAAGGAAAACATGAGGTTGTATTAGAGAGATCGATATTTCTATATGCAATCTGTTAGTAACTGTAGTAACTGCAACTTAGCAGTAAGGAAGGGGGTAGATCTCATACCTCATCTGCTCGTCTCTTATTCTCCGGATCCAATGTATTCCTAGCACCTAAGAGAGTCTTCCCAACTGCACCAGCAGCACTAATGGCTGGACCAAGAATAATGGTAGGCGCACTCCTGAGGGCTGCCCGTGCTGCTTCGGTGACATTCTCAGTCTCCATTATTTCTCCAGGTACAGCAATGATTGCATCTCGTGCAACACTCAGATCTCGCCCGAGTCCTGCATAGGCTCCACGTAACCCTTGGATAACGCCAACAGGCTGGTCTGCATAAAGAGATATTTGCTGCTTTGCCCCTACATCAATGGGCTCGTCGTCTTCAGGATCCTCCCCAGATGATGGAGCACGATTTGCAGGCTGGGCGGGAGGACCATTGAGATAACCTTCTGCTCCTTGAAGTACATTTTGCGTCCCAATTGCTAGCTTGGCTCCGATTTTGATAAGTTCACTTGTGGTGGTTTTGGCAAAGGCTGCGGCGCCTTTCTGAAGCCCTCTAACAATTCGACCGTCTTTCTTGTATTCCCGAATAGGAATAAAAATAAGGTCTCTAACACCACTGCCGAGAGTTACCAGTGATTTGACAGGTGCTAATCCGGATAGAACACCTCCGAGTTGGTTATCGCGTACATCGGGTGTCCAGATGTCATTCAACATCTTTCCAAGCCTTTCAAACCCGGTAATACCGTATAATATAACATGGCGAAGGACCATATCCGCTTCATCGAGAACAAAAATATTCATCAGCTCTGTGGTTCTACCAGAGCGAAGAGCAGTATAATCAAGCCTCTTAGGTTTGAAATCAAGTCGTATCGGTATAGGATTGATTTCTACCCGTTGTAGAAATGGCACGTCACCCGGAGCAGTCTCAGGTTTGCTTGCTGATTCGTCTTTAAAGTCGAAAAATCGGGCCATAAAGTCAAGTGCATCGTGGTCAACGTGAAGGCGCAGTGGTAGGACAGTTGCCTATGTTGAGGTTAGATACTTGGATCACATTTAAGATAGACAGAGTTAACGCTTACCTTTAATATTATCTCAGAAGCTGCAAGATCCGCTACTGGTTTCACATTCAGTACTTCGACATGGACCATGCTTGTACCGATCTCTCTCTCGCCCATATCGTGCATGTACGTGGCAAATTTTCTCCACGTAGAAGTCGGCATATGATCGAATATTTCCAGGTCGTGGATTCGAACGTCTATCGAGCTCTGAGTCTCTCCAGAATTAGCTGGGAAAACAACCACATCTGCAGAAACACCTTTCAGCTCAATTGTCATTTTGTGGTGTTGACTCCGGGCCAGGCGCAATTTTTCTCGCCTGGAAACCCCATCCTGTGTAGATGCACCCGTTATAGTTGTGGTGGTTGCGTAGCTTCCAGTCTCGCTCAAGCCATCGATATTCCGGTTGATGTCACTGGTGAGATCCCGAGGATCCTTATTGGAGGGTATTTCAATATATACAGAGTTGAACAAGAAGTCGTCAATGGTAGGCTCCATTCCCTCCTCCATCTCTCGCGACAACCGTCTATTATTTGCTCTAGCCCTTCTTTCTGCAGCTCGAGTTTGCAAGCTCTTCACCGATTTGGAGATGGTATCTCTAGTTCGCCACCAATCGTATCCATCATATAAGTTCCAGATGACATGGACATCTCGAACCCTTAATCTCAAAGGGCTATTTTGCAGATTAACTTCGTTTGAGAGATTGTATGTGTTCCGAGACGCATCCCATCGGTGGGCAGTGCCTCCAACCGCAGAATTCTTCGAGAAATGGTCTTCATCAAAGTTGAGCGCAGTATGTTCTGGGTGGACATGCGCTACCGAGTGCGTACTATTTGCCAATAGCTCATATCCTTCACCCGGAGCTTCTTCGGTTGATTTACCTGACTTAACACTAGCATGGAATGGGAAGAAGTCACTGATGTACCCTAGCTCGGCAGCCGATATCTCGTCAGACTCTTCTAGACCGTCATTTTCACGGTTGTTCTTTTTATTCGAGTTGTAAGTGTCCAGGGTCTCCGCAGCGAATGATTGAAGCAAGTTGCTGATTGGCATAACCTCCGTCCGATATTTGACGGCTTCGCTAGGGGGAGCAGGTGGTGATAGCCCGCTTAGAAGAGATATAAGGGATTGAGTAGAGTCGGCACAGGTCTCAAGTATCAGTAAGTCGTCTCTCACTTCCACGTCGAGAGACTTTTGACCGTCGGCTGCCAGCTGCATGATTTTGAGATGTATTTGAGCAGATGAGGTTTCACAAACAGAAACATAGCCTATCTCCTCTAGATATTGAATTTGAGGACTCAAACTAGTAGACCTCCTGCGCCGGCCGTTCGATCTAGTTTTTTCTTCCGACTCTACCTTGTCCACTATCATCATTGAGGCTTTAGCTACTTTCAAGGTAGCTTCAGAACGAAGTTCCTGTTGCATGCATCCAAAGAATTCGACATTTGTCAACACCACGTAGCCTTTCGCAGGAGAATTTCGAGGAGCCAAGCCTATAAGACAGTCTTTCCAAGTAACAGAGAGGCGAATCGGAGAGGTAGTTCCAGGTGAGGAGTCCGCAGCAGCTGATCCCTGCATCGAAGTCTCAAGTTCAGTTGCAGGCTGTTCCGGTAACTCTGCAAAGTTGAGCACTGACTGCGCCATGTTGGTTGCTATGCCCTCCGTGGTTGCTTCATCCTCTTGAAGGTCCATTAGGGTCACGATGGACTCAGCTATGTATTCAACACGAGTATTAAAGAGTTTCAGCTTGATAGCGGGCTCCAGTTCATCCGCAATATATCTCACCATAAACATGGGCAGCTCGCTCTCAGGTTTCCTTTCCCCAGGCTTACGGAGAACAGCTGGTCCGAGGAGCTCCTCCTTTTCGTTCCGCAAAACGGTTGCGGTTGAAACGCGAGAAGCTATCAAAGACGGAAAACTGACATACCCAACTTCTGCATTGTGTGACTGAAGTCTGAATTTACCAACCTTGCCACCAACAGTAATATTCACCTCAAGCTCTCTGACCAGTGCTAAGGCAAGCATACCAGGCCTATCATCTTCGGGGAGGTATTTGGCAACTCTAGCAAGTTTCGATG